TATTTATATTCATTCCTCAATAAGACAAAGCATACCGGTACTTCAGGAGTTATTTATTTTATTTACTAATACACTGTAATATTACCACTATATGCATGCAAATGTTTCACCCCATTCACTGTGAACAGGGTGCAGGTATTGAAATTTACTTGCTAACGTGCAGGGAAAGATGGAGGATTATCTAAGTTTTAAAAAAGCTGAAATTTATTTTGATTTTAAGTTCTATATTTTTTTTAAGTCTGTGATTTTGGTGTACAGGAAAATGAATGTAAGCAAGAGATCTATTTTTGTAGTAGATTGTATTTAAATAAATTTATGAAAAACTGGTTTCTGCTAGACCTGTATCCTGATTTAATTACAAACATTCCTTAAATGTATCAACTCTGTTAATTGTCATGGACCAATCAGGATGTTGCTTAGTATTCTCAGTATGATCTAGCAGAAACTGTAACCATGGTGATAATTTGGGAAGGGATGAGGGTTAATGGTGCTAAGGATACCGTTGTCAGTCTATAATTAAGTAACCAAATATAACTTCCAAATTATTGCGTGCATCTTCAGAAAAAGTTTACTGACTGGGCTATAGCAAACAATACATGTATTCTGTTTCTGATGTCAGGATTTGGTGCAATGTGTTTTTATTTCCTTTGATCGTTATAAGAATAAGACTTTTGTCAATTTGTTGGGAGAGGGTTGTAGAAAATTTACTTCTCCTCCAAACCATTATATTTTGATGATTAAATTATTGAATTCATTGCAATTTACTGTATAGAGATCCACAGTGGAATTTTAACTGCTACAGAACACGCATGGTGACCTTTTTAATCAGTACTGCTTACAAAAATCATACCAGAACATCGTTTCCATGGTAACTAACCGATAATTCAGTTTTCATTAAAATCTGTTTCTGCCAATTTAGGGAAACTTACCGGTAATAGTGGTTGTCATGATGATAGATGAGTTTTCTTGCTGTCCTTTTGTGTATATATCGGCTCACTGGATTATGTTTGGTTATTAAAGAATGTTTTTAAACATCAGATATATTTTGATTCTTTTTATTCCACTGATGTTTGAACTCAGCGTTTCCACAATAATACACTGGCAACTGTTCTGTGCACTGTATAATAATAATAATAACTTTATTTAATTAAGCGCAACAATTCCAACATATGAAGATCAAAGGCGCTGATACAATAAACAATCAGTCAAATATTAAAAGCACATTTAAATAAGTGCGTTTTCAGTCTGGATTTAAAAATGTCTACTGAAGGACTAGAACGAACAGACAGAGGTAATTCATTAAAAAGTTTAGGACCTAAATTTTCAAAAGCACGGTCTTTGTATAACACCTTGGACTTTTTACTACACACCTGACGAGTTTTAATAAGAAACTTTGATTCAGATCTTAAACTACGACTAGGTACATAAAATTCGATTAATTCACATAGATAATTTGGGGCAAAACCATACAAAGATTTATACACTAGTAAAAGTAATTTGAAATTGATTCTTTGTACAACTGGTAACCAATGAAGTTTAATAAAAATGTCTGTAATGTGGTCATATTTTCGAGCACGAGTGACAAGGCGGGCTGCTGCATTTTGTACACGAATAAGAGGTTTTATCTTAGTTACAGGGAGACCAGACAATAATGAATTACAGCTGTCTAAGCGAGAAGATATGAATGCATGTACCAACTTTTCAGTATCAGATTGGGATAATGATTTACGAATACGATTAATATCAATTTTGTCTTCATTCACATTTTTTTTATTTTCTTAGAAATCCATAAGATGCTATTGACAAAATTCAAATTAAAACCAGAGGTTTTTATTGGCCAATGGAATAACATTAGAACATTTTCAAATGATGTCATTACGCACTGAGCTCAGTGATTGGCTGATTGAATTTCACTGCCATTGAAATTCATAAATATTTATAAAAATGAAATTATTGTGTTTGTTGTGTCAATAGTAAATAATATTGCATTAAATTTTACAATTCACTGAAAGAACTTGGTGGTGTGATTGCAAATTGTGGTGAAAAATATTAAGATTGGTCACTACAGTTACATTCGAAGTATGAGGAATTTTCTGAAAACATTGGTCTTTGTTATTATACATGGTAGTATACAAAATAAAAAAAGGGCAAAATGTTTTAAATAAATTGATTACATGGTTAATTACAAAGATGATGGAAACATAGTCCTTTCAATTACTAATACAGTGAATTTTATTGAATAAATGAATGTTATTTGTGGAAATTTATAAAATATTTACCCTGGAAGACACTCCACTCTCACTTCATGCAAATTCAAGGAATTATCTGTCATTGCTATAGAAGCCATTTGATAATGCCCATTACCCATGAGTCTTTATGGGTTCTCTTCAATCATTGGTAAACACACTGCCAAGTATTCTTCAAAATGTGATATGATAAGTTGTTTTCAACTGTCATTTCAAATTCATAGAACATTAAATACATAAATATTAAAAAACACATGAAATTCAATTTTATGAACTCTAGGCATAGAAGAATGTGTGAAAAACTACATTTGCAGACATTTTTGTAAATATGCCTTGATACATGGAACATTTACTGAAAACTGCAACACATCTATTTCAAACACAACCTCATGCATCATAGAAAATACTGAAAAAAACTAAATGTATTTTATTGCAAAAACATGTCTACTTGCATATTGTATATATTAGTACATGGCAATACTAACATTGGTGTACATTTTTATTCAAATATTGAAAATTTTAAAAATGGTCTGAGGTTAAACAGTTGCTTGCACAAAGGCAAACAAATGTAGAACAATTTTTCTTATCCTCAATTTTAAACATGCTTGATTAAAACCAAGTGAATATTTAATAAATAATTTACATTTTAAAGAACAACAAATATGGTTCAGAATACTAGTCATATTACCTTGACTTTTTTTTTTAAATGCCAATCGATAAAATGTAGTAATCTCCTTTTCCTAATTATCATAACGATGACCCACAATAAACACCTTTGGGAAGAGCTATTATAGCTATTATAGACTACGTAGACTACAAAATATTTTCTCCTACTTTTTATTCAATTTATTTTGAAGTTGCTGTATTTTCAATAATTCTTCATCTAATGGTCTAGTAGTAACTGATATTTAATAAATTTATAATAATAATAATAATAATATAATAATTCTACATCAATGTTGTGTCTCGTAATTTTGCAATTTGCCATCCCTCCAAACTAATGGTATCTCCCACTTGAACATATCTTGGAACAGTTCTTCTCGAGATTAGCAAGATGGCGGCTGCGGAAAAAGGCTTGTTGTATGATAAACTCAGCGAAAATGTCGAAAAAATCCAAAACTTGGGTAAAAGTTGGGGTATGGACAACGACGAAATAGAAAGCTGTATCTACACTGCCCTAGAGTTTGATTGTCCGTCGAAGCAAACGACTGTGACGTCTAAAATCATGTTCGGTCTACGAGTCTTCGTTTTGATCTTCAGTTTCTTATTGGCTATGTACGTTTTTATGAGCTTTCATAAACCTACACAGCAGATGGTTTCGAAACAGACACAGTCGTGGCAGTATCCTATCCTTAGATTCGTCAGATTGTTGACTCTGCCACTTGCAAAGAAATACCATCTTGATGGTAAGTTTTTTTTTTCAATTTTAGCAATGCAATGCATTAGGTAAACGACCAAAGCAACTTGACAACGACCTCATGCAGTGGATTGTTTTACCAATATGACTAAAACGATGTACCGGGTATTTACAATTGTTTATAAGAGGTACCAACTTGACCCCGCTTTTCGTACTATTAAACATTAACACACGGTTTTGTTACAGAACTGCCCGGGGGGGGGGGGGGTGTTAAGTTCAGACTTGGATTAATACCCTATCCAAATTTTGAGCCAAAAGCGCCCTCTCAACGTCGATCTGTTTGGGTGCAATTTTCGAATTACTCGCAACCAAAATCTGGATGAGTAACCCCCCCAATTAATAATGATCCCTTTTTTTAAAAGCTAGTGAGAAGGTAAACAATATTTAGAAAGACTTCCTTAAGGCCCCAACCCACCCCTAATCTAAACCCTAACCCCAGATGTAATTGTGTATGCACCTCTGTATAACTTATACATGTCCTGGAAATGGGGCAAGGCTAGGAGTAGAATTAGAACTAGGGATGAGGGGGTCCTAAAGAAATCTTACCCAATACTTTTAAACACATAAAAACGTTTCTTCAAACATATACAAATCAACATTTTGTTGGAATGCTACTCAAACAGGAACTAATTTTCACTGAATCCACTTTTTGACTCCCGTGTGCGAAGCACAAAAGGGAGTCTTTGCAGTTACCCTGTCTGTATGTCTGTCTGTATGTATGTATGTATGT